TGAAAGGAAACAAAACTTCCAGAACACAGCCACACAGCCCGGAAGACTCACACCAGCCAATTAAAATAACCTTTGGTATGACAAATATATGCAACTTGTATATGGCTTATATAAAGTGCAAAAGCGTACATGATATGGGGTAACAAAGCCAAACCAGTGGGTTTTAAACCTCCTATATTATGAAGACATCCAAAAGGATCAGACTCTTTAGGATCCGAGTGCTTCCAAAAATGTTTATCTCTCTTCAAATTCTGACCACCCCTAATGTAGCAATAGTGAGCTACTTAATGAAAAAAGGAATAACTACAGATTTACAACATTTGCAGAGCTGTAGCAGAAATTACTCCCCCTTTTAAATGTGTTAAATTTCAGGTTAAAGCCAGAAGTTGCAGTATAAACAAACCTGAAATCAGGAATGATTATTTATTTTATCTACTCATACCTAAAATGTGTTACTTGCTCTATAGGAAAAGCTCTTAAGAAACTAAATAAATCCAAAGCAAAATATAATAAAACAATAATCAATTAAAACAACAGTTTAAAAAGAGAAGTGACTAAGAAGCTCAACAAAATAATCTAAGAAATATAAGAAAACTAAAAGGCCTGATACTTTTAATTTTCGTTTTTCATAAAGGTCTTTGCCTGACACTGAAATAAAATAAAAGTTGGAAATTGGCAGGCTGCTCTGGAGAAGGCATTCCATAGTTTGAGACCGTCATTAAAAAGGTCTGCTCTCACCTGCTAAAATTTAGCATGCGAAGGCAATCAGAGCACTTCCTCTCAGTGCTCAGGAAGGAGTTTTTATTATAAACTCACCTGAAGATAAAGATGAAGAGCATCAGTAACATGCAGAAGGTGGCCACATTATCCATTGTTTTCATGAGGACGACTAACTGGCGCTGAAGAGCAGGCATAAACCGGACCAGTTTTAGAACTCGCATAAGACGGAAGGTTCGTAAAACAGACAAGCCTCCGCCTTGCTGTCCCACTATCTCCCACACACTAAGAAAAAAGAGAATATATATTTAATATTAACGTAATGAATTAGCTTTTGAGAGGAAGTATTATTACTGCAACTCTCTCATCCTTGGAAGTTTGGCCCAGTGACCACAGGATTCATCAGATTCAGACTGTTGCCTCTAAATTTAAATATCTCCTTGCAGGAAGAAATCCAGCATAGCAATTCCCCTCTCAGAGCATCTGAAGGCAATTCTTTATTACAGTTGGAACTCTGGCATTGAAAAAGACACAAAAGAGTAACACTGAAGGTATTGTGGGAAGGCTGTAGATCCACTAGATCAGAAATCAGATTGGCTTTCCACTTACTCTCACAAATCAAGAATTAGTTGGCTGGTGTTGATTAATTTTCTTCCATTGGTTTCAATCAGAAGGAATTTTTAAAAATAAATTAGCTGGGGAGGAGAAACAGAGCCTAGCAAAGTGCTGTATATGGCCATTCACTTACTGACAGGGCTTTTTCTGCTCATGTTCTTTAATTGGGAATATTTAGATTAGATGAAGAGTTGAAAATCTTTGAAAGATCTGAATCCTATGGGTTGCTGAAGGAACTTCCAAAGGACAGAAGCTTGCAATAATAATATTTCCAGTCAGGAACTGCATACATTTCAATGTTTTTCACCGTTTTAGGATTTCTGAAAAAACAGGGAAAGGCAGTCATAGTTGTTGCTATTTTTTAATTCCTGCGTGCACTCCAACAGATTTTGTTATGTGTCCTAAAAGTGCACCGAAGTAGAAAAGCAGGTACAGAGGTGTTTTGAGGATAAATGTTGCATGGGGAACATTGTTAATGGATTTCTTCAATTGGAATTCTGCAAATAGAAGCTACCTATAATTTGCCCTGCACTTTCTTCAGGGAATTCATGTTAATAAGGTATCCATATGTCCTGATTTGCAGAGTACAATCATTTATTGAAGCAGCCCTTTACTTGGAGAACCAAATCTGCTTTAAAAATAAGGAACTACAAAATGAGAAAGCAATAGCCTTACAGTGCCCATCAACAGCCGTTAGCATTTGGACAGCAGCCTGAGCAGACCTGCAGCTCATAGTCTTCACTGTGGTGAGGCACATTTTCTTCTACTTCATTTATAATCATTGTTCAGTATTGGATCTCTTTTCATACACTAGCAGGTATAAATCTTATCTGTCATCCTTTTGTAAAGTGATGTGTAAGCGGCCAGCTAGATATAAAAGTAAACAGGTACGTGCTTTAGCCAGGCCTATTATTTATAGTGAGTGCTATATAGAAGGAAAAGAATAGCAGCGGGTGGATTACACTGAATAGTCCCTCTGTACTAGAGACTATAACTCTTTCTCAGAAAAGGAAGCCAATTAGCATGGCCGTATGTAAATATGACAATACGTATTGTCATAAAGTAGCCTATTTTGACTGGGCAACCTTCAGATGAATTGGAATTATAACTCTCAGAATTGTCAGCAGTTCCAGAGAACATACCACATATAACACATGAGCAAAAGAACTAATATATTCAAAAATATTTCAACCTACTTTTAAAAATTTCCCCACAGCTTTATTCCACAATCCAGTTGGAAGAAATCAGTTTGAAATAGGTTGGTATTGGAATAATTGAAAGTATTAAATGTTATAGACTGCAATCACTCATAGTAATAAAGAAAACTTGGTTTTAATTACCTGATCACTACAATGATTCCATCGAAGATATTGTAGGGATTTTTGATGTAACCAAAAGGGCCATACACAAGAAGCTTCAGAAGCATTTCTAGGGCAAAGAGGCTAGTAAACACAATATTGCTGATTTCCAGTGCATTGGTGAGTTCTTCTGGCTGGAAAAAACAAAATCAAGGGCAAACAAAATTGCCAAGATTAATAAAATGTTTGCTGTGAAATACCAGGAAACTCCTAGTCATGTAAGTTATAACATCCATAAACATATAAGACAAACAGAAAAATCTCTTGGGCCATCCATTGCCTGTTTTTGTGGTGCTGGCGGTTCTTTTCCATTGCCAGAATGAATCCTAAGGCTCAATGCACAGTAAATAAGATGAGGAATTTGGTTACTAGATCATGTCCTCTTTCTTCCAACTGCCTTAACAACAATTCTGCAGCAGTAAAGCAGTACCGTTTCTCATCTTATCAAACTTTAAAACCAGCATGTTTTGAAACTTGCTTTCCAGAAAATCAGTGGCAGCTGAGGAGCATGAAGCTACACACAAAGGCTTAGAGGGGGCAGGTACCCTCTGCTAAGACAATGGCGCCCTTGTGGTTGATACTTGAGATAACAGTGGAAGAACTGCAGAAATATCAGCCCTGAAGCCCTTGTATGATTAAAGGGAGGCTTTACCAAGCAGCACAGGAAAATAAAAATGGAGGGCTCCATTTCTGCAGAACCCAGTAAACAAAATGGCTCCACAAAATGGCTGCCACAGTGGGAGCTGCCAAACCCAACACTGCTTTTTCACAGCAAAGCAAATTGCTATGGTTGAAAAGCAAATGAGCTGCCCCCGACTTACTGATTGATAACATAGCAGGGTCTGAGCTCCCCTACATCAAACTCTGCAGACAGAGGAAGGGTGACATCAACAGACCCCAAACTTGGGTTCAATGGATGTTTCATAGCTTAAATGATTTAGATTTGCAGCTTCACAGTTGCATTTAGGATCTGACCAATACAGTTTTTAAAAAGAAAAATGCCTTACATTAGTATGTGCTTGAGTCTTACTGAGTTATCTGAACATAATTTATAATGCTGAACTGGGTCAACCTGATTGATGGCATTTCAGCACTCCAGGTTGCTGCAACCGCTGAGAGCTTTGGGGAACAGGAGCATTAGACAGCCAGGTCCAGCTTTCAAACACCTTCTGTGCACATCTAAACCTCTTGGTTGGTTTTCAAATGTTCCTATAAACTATGCCTTTCACCTGCTTGCCTCGAGTGCAACATTTCATCACAAAAAGCTGGACAGCCAAACATTCTGCCCTCTTCACACCCCTGGAATGTAACTGACAATGAATGAAGCTGGCATTTGTCAGAGGCTGTTGTGGCAAAGTCCTCCTAAAGTTCATGGGAGCAAAGGCCACATCAAAGCACACCCTAGATCAGTGTTTCTCAACCTGAGAAACACTGCCCTAGATAAAGATATGCCCAAACTCAGAGTTAGGATCTCCTTGGTGTACTTTATGTCTCTTAGCTCATTTGGACCTGGTTTGGCTGTCTTGCTGTATGAGCTGGCATCACTGGAACCTGGCTTACTCTGGCTGTGGGGCTCCTTAGTTATCTATACTCTGGAGGATCTCCCACATTTTTCAGGTGCGTCAGTTCTTCCTGTTGGGAATGATCTGATACTGAAAGTCTAGTCACCAAGCGAGGGGTGAGAGCAGAGCACCTTCAGGGTGACTGTAACCCTACGATGCTGCCTTCCCTTGCTGAGCCAGCTCTTCTCGCTGCAGCTGGAAACGCACGCGCCACTGCAGGGAGCGCCACCTCCTATGCCAGGAAGGCAAAGCAGAGGCAAACAGCACTTAGCCATGGCAAGTCCAAATCAGGGCTACAATCCTTTTCCGGGCTTCAAGTCCAGTTGCTTAAATGCTACCAAAGTCAGCGGAGTTTAAGCCCACAAGAATGAGTGCAGGATTATTTCCCATTTCTCAGGAAAGAGTCTGTTTTATTTATGTATTGAACCTAAATGACTCTTGGTGGCTTATTTTGCATCTAAAAGCTGAAGCCCTGAAGTAGAACAAAGGGTTACAACTCAAAACTCAGATTTCCTGGCTCTTTAATAAAGGCCTGGGCAAAAGACGCACAGCTCTATAATGTCGATCTGGGGGAGAGTGTGAATATTTTATTTTCCTCCCTCCAGTTCAGACAAAGCAGGCAGTTACCTTGATATGCTGGAATCTGGCTACCTGATTGCAGTTGGATATAGAGCCTCATATTAGATCGTTTCTTTTAAATTCTGAGCCCCATCAAATATTCCAGAAGGGGTGGGTGAGTGGCAGGTTTGGGGAGTGTTTCGTGAGCTGGAGAAGCGTGGTTGTCCCCTGCCCAGCTATATTTTGCCTCATTCATTCACATTTGTCCCTGTCCTTGTTCTTTGGACTTGGGGGACTGGAAAGGAAACACCGTGTGTGTGATAGGCAACTCCCTAAAAGCCCTAATGCCACATCACTTTTGGGTTACAGTACCTCCGCCCTGGCTGTGTCCTGCATTTTTCTCAACTCCAAATGCCCTCAGGGGTTTCCCAGCCTCTAGGCAACCCGTTCCTGTTGTTACCATAGGCAGACATGCATATGTGGGGGAGCTCCATGAATGTTTGTTTTAAACAGAAGGCTGCTCAGGAAAAGAACAAAACGTAACAGAAGCACCAAGCCAGGCCTTTTCGTCTGCATGGTTTTCCTACAAAACTGCAGGCAGTGCAGTTTGGAAACAGACTCTAAGCATCTCCCCGTTCAATTCTCTGTGATTATGGTCTCCTCTGGGGCTTGGAAGTAAGAGGGGAGGTAGCCTTTATTAGTACATATATTTATTTTTTTTGCACATCCATGCAGCAGGCAAGCTGCACAGCAGCACAGTTTCAAATGGCCTTATTAAAATATGTACTTTGAAAGAGAAAATATCTTATTTATAATCTTGCTGACACCAAGGGTGTTGGCTTGCAGCTATTTTCATCTTGGAGACTTATTATTTCTGAAGCAAATACAGAAAGCTGATACAATAGAAATGCAAATCTTCCCTTTAATCTCGTATCCCACTAATTCATTATGCAGTTTCTGTTTGAAATGCCACTCAGACTGGCACATGCCGTTTTTTTTTTTTATTCCTGGAGAAAAATCACTTTTGCATTGGTCAAGCTCAATTCATATGGTCAGTTCATATACTCTGTGATTACGCTGAGGCTAAGAATGACAATTTCCGAATATACCATGGTGCTAAATGTTACTCTGTTCTGCTTCACTAGAAAACTCTTTGCTGCAGTAAAAGTACATATTCTAAGTCAGTGCAACCCAATGGTCTGGGGCCAACGGGCACATTAGGGATTTTGAAAGTGTATTATGTTATTGTGGGTATGACTGCTTATAAAATGTTTATATACTAACAAGCAATTTGTATAGTAACAAGCAAGTTTTCTTCCCATCACCACCTCATTCTTTTTCCAGACAGGTGGGCACACTTCTAGCCAAAACTAAGAATGTCTCTGACCACATGCACCTGTTTCTAACCATAATGATGCCGAAATGATGAAACATGAACTCTGCCCTTTAGTACTGTTGTCATATCACCACACGCGAGAATATAAGGACAGAGTTGGGTCATGACATCACAATGCACGTTTTCTCATTTGCTGTACCTGGCCCTCCCCCGTGACCCAAAGGCCATGGCCATATGTACTCAAAAGCATTCTTAGAAATAAAGATTCTACTCGAGGGTCATCCATTTCTGTAGCAGGCTAGCTTCTTTCTTTCTTTCTTTCTTTCTTTCTTTCTTTCTTTCTTTCTTTCTTTCTTTCCTTTTTTTAAATTAAAGTAACCTAAAAAGGAAAAACAGGCATGGGTCCTGGCAGGGGTTAACGGAATGTCTACCGGCCTATTGGTGCCTGCAGCTCCTTTGTTGGAATCCCTGATTCTAAATGCCCAAAGTTTCCATCGCTGCTGGTTTTTTCCCATTATGTGATTCCATTTAATAGTGCAGATTTTATAAAAGATATGAGATAAACTATAGCAACAAAGTGCTGTGATAATGCTGCTGCTGCTGCTTCTCCGTGCTCCTCATTATCCTATTTTCACTGCAATACATGCTTTGAAACCAATGTCTCAGAACTCAATATTCAGAAGAAACAGCACAACAGAATTAACTAAAGGGCCACATGCAACTGCAGCCCCTGCTTTGCCTTCTTCTAGATGAAATAATGCTTTACAGCAACCAGAGAATAGCTGCGATTTACATAATTCCTAGTACTAAATTATGCTAACTTGCATCCAGTAGTATATTCAATGAAGCTAAACTAGGCCAATGTATTTGCTGTCATACTGTTCTGTCCTTTTTCCTCTAGCCCACAAAGGGTAATGGCAAAATTTCAAAGTATATGCATACCTACACATATTTAAAATCCCCAGGTAATAATAATCTTTTCATTTCATTTAGGAGCGAAGTGTGATCTACAACCAGTTAGATTCAAAATGCAATTACCTTACTGAAAGTTTCCAGGCTGGGTCAATTCAACTGTCCCAGTCTAACACGCATTTTGCAGGGGAATCAATTTAGTTAACATTTGCTGAGAAATCAAAATAACCAGACCCAAGGAAATACTCTGAATTTTCTTCTTTCTTTAGCTACTTCGGTATGTAGGAATCTTATAGAACTTGCTCCCCTCCCAAAGTCTACTGGCAAATCATCTTTATTTATGGCACAGTTGCTTAACCTCCAGAAATCAAGATTTTTTTCCTCCTCAATTTGAAAGTAAAATCAGATGTTATTTCTAGCTATCAGTGTCCAGAAAATTATGAAAGAGCCTTCTTCCCCTCAGAAACCATCTATGGTAATTTCAAGTTTATAACCTAAATTCTGACCTCAATTAATCCATGTACAAAGCTTTATCCATCTCCAATAAACGTTATATGACAGTGCTCAATGTCTCCGACTGTTTGGACAAAAAAGATTTGCCACCGGTGTACATCTGACTCTCTCTGCTCCAGTTCATATTCATCTTACTTATTTACATGAGAACATATTTAAGGAAAAGTCTTTTTCTAATCCCATGGCTGTTTCTGTGCCTCATCAAAACCAGAGGACAGCAGCATTTGTATCTTAACCTGTCAACAGGATTTGC